GGCCAGTACACGGAGGCAAGAGTTAACCGGGCAGGAATGCTGATGGAATGTACAGACACCCTCTCTGTGGACAGACGTGCAACTTGGTACCTGATACCAGCCACACCCCAGCACAGCTAGGAGGCTTTTTCCCTTTTCCCAGTGAGAGTTTTCTTAAAGCCAATTATGGAAACAAGAAGGAACAAGAAAGGGTACCAGTGGGTGTGAGGCCTCCAGTGTCCTCTGCCAGAGTAGCTGCCCATCAGAGGAGAGGACGTGGATATGAGGTTGATTCCCCTTGGCCTACGAGCTTGTGAAGGTAGTTATCATCAGTACCTCCGCCCAATGTTCTATGGGTCTCTACAGTATTTAAATGTAACCTTAACGCAAGACCCTCTCCTTTTCAAATATTCCCTGGTCATCATTCATAATCTCTTTTTTGTCAACAGTCTTAGTATTTGAGGATCATAGTCTCTAGCCCCATGAAACAAGTTGTATCCTAACCGTTTTATAAACAAAGAAACAGACAGATAATAAGAAGGTCAGCCATTGCTTATAGAAACCCTTGATAGGGAAACTTGACTTTGAATCCGGCATCCTGCCACCAAGTCTAGTGAGCTCACCATCAGAGCACAACTACTGCACTACACAATGAATGAACAACAGGAAGCCTGCATCTGGCTTCTCTTGACATATATGGCTGAGAGAGAGGTGCCACAAATATCAACTTATTCTAAACAAGAGATGCAGGGAGGCATCATGGCACCCTTGAGAAGCTGAGGTGGGAAGACCACAAGTTTGAGGTCAGTTGGTCTGTGCAAGACCCTATCTTGACAAAACAAAGCACAGATGTCTGAGGAAATGCTGTCAAACACTGATCTCCCACTGGCTTCAGAGCCCACCCTTCATTTCCAGAAAGTAAAAGGGGGAGCTGTGGGTTTAAAAAACACCTGTATAGTCTCCTGGATAATAATGGGAAAATGCTAATGTAACGCCATGTGGAAAGGCTAAGACAAGAAACTAGGGAAGTGTGTGGAGGGAGGCCTGGTGTTTCTAACTTTCTCAAAGAACTACTCTTCTGTATAGAGAAAATATATGTGTTCTCTTTGTTCCCAGGTTGGCAAGGAAGCTAGGCTGGCATTTCATTTTCTACTTAAAGCAGATTGCTAAACTCTGGTGCTGAATAACCAGGAGTCAGGCTGACTTGGATTTGACTCTGGGTCCTGGGCTTTCTGTCAGCACAGCCTTGAGCAAGTGAATCTCTCCAGCTTCTTTTCCTCATTGTCAAGATGGAAGGAATTAGATTCTCAGGCTAGATGCTTAAGAAGTGTGTATTCCATGGAACTTCAACTATAGGGATACCCAAACAAGTCCTACATGGCAACACCAACATGGATGGGGAAAGCCCCACCCCTAGATGAAGGGCAGCCAATGGCTAATAAGAAAGAGAACGGGGGGGGGGGGGAGAGGCTTCCTACATAGGCCAGCCCCCAGAGGGGTCATCCAATCCCAAGTGATCAGCCCAAAAGACATAGAAATAACACTATATAGGCTAAGTAGGTTTGTGTATGTGTGTGTTTGCATGTATGTATGCATGCACATATGTGTGTGTACATGTATGTATGTGTGTGAGACAATAATAATTATAAAAGAAGTCATACATTTGAGAGGCACTAAGTAGATACAGGAAGGATTAGAGAGGAGAGGGAAAATGATTATAATAGATACAGTATTTGTGCATGAAATTCTCAAAAATATAAAACATTTAAACTTTTGAAAGGATTTTTCAACCTAGCCAACATGGATTTTAACCCAATGACTCTCATTTCAGACTTCTGACCCCAAACAGTCAGCAATTACCTTTGTAAGATTGAAGAAATCTGTTACTATGGCAATAAGAAACAAGCCTAGAATTTTGTCAAAAATACCCATTAATCAGGTCTGTTGAGAAGATGCCTGAGACAGAATGGAACACTGAAGGGGCCATAGGTGGCAGATTCCATTCTTTTGGGTCACTTTTGCAAAATGAGTGTGGCTTTCTTTAAGACAAGACAAGAACATCTTAGTTTTAATTACGTGCATGGGAGTGGTGCACGCATGAACATTCAGGTGCCCTTGGAGGCCAGAGAGCATTGGACCCCCTGGAGTCACAGGCAATTGTGGGCTGCCCACCTCAGATGCTGAGAACTGGACTCAGGTCCTCTGAAAGTGCAGCAGTCACTCTTAACTGCCGACCCATCTCTCCAGCACCAAGACAAGCACAACTTTCTAAGTTGCTATTTGAAAAAAGTTGGGAAGAGGCAGCAAGTTCAGAACACCTTGCCTATTGATACAATCCTTTCTCAAGCTACCAAACCACGGGCCACTGTCTCAGCAGCATTTCCTACCATGCTACCATCTAGGTTCTCCCATGGATTTCTTGCTCAAATCGGCCCCCTGACTACCCCTCCCTTCTCTCCTCCACTCTGATCTGCATTTCCTATCCCAATCCTGACTCTTAGCATTCTCTTCTTTTCCATCATGTAACCAAAGTAGCCAAATAACTACCCACTTCTAAAACCCGGTGACCTCTGGAAAAGCGGTCAGTACTGTGCCAACATCCCTTGCTCAGGATTCCTTCAGCTTCTTCTGGACCAGTGGAGACCCCCTTGTTGAACATCTACCTGGATCCTTCCTTTTCCTCCACACCTCTCAGAACTCCCCCTTTCTAAGCACTGGCCCTAGTTAATTTGCCTTTAAAACCCTTGGTGCTATAGGGCCACTTTAAATTCCTTGAAAGAAAAAAAAATCTCTCTTCTCTGTTCTTTGAGCCTAACTAATCTTACTGCTACCAAGAAACTGCAATGTGCCAAACAGGTGCAGAATCGGTACAATGATGGTCAGTAACGAAGTTGAACTTGGCCTCTGCAGATAGTTGCCCTTTACAGACTGTGTTTCTGTTATCTGAAGGTCTATCTTTCAAAGTCTGTTTAGTTTGTGTCTAGCTTAGAGAGCAGTCCAACTGGTCAGGATTAATGTCTGTGCATGCCAATAACAAACTTTACGACGTAACTGATCCGGCTGTACCAGTTAGAGTCTCCCCGTCAGAGCCTTCTAGGCACCGTAAGGCTCTGCTCATCTGATATGGAAGAGTTACCTCAGATAAATAAATGGCATTTCTAAGCAGAAATTCCATAGGATGGGGGAGGATCAGAAGATGCTGTAACAAGGGCTCAGATTCTTCTGTTCCTTTGACAAACATTGATGGAATTATGTGTGCCAAACTCTGAGTTAGAAACACTCATACATTTTAACTTTTTAAATTCCCACAACCTTCAAGGTTAAAAGAAATGGGAAAATATTTAAGGATGTTTAAATTACTTAGGTTATTATAATTAAAATACTTATGTTATTAATATGCACCTTATAGAGTTAAAAAGACTTAGGCTGAAGGAGTCTCAGCGGTTAAGAGCACAAACTGTTCTTCTAAAGGGCCCAAGGTCACTTCCCATCACCCAAATCAGGTGACTCACAACAGCCTGTAACTCCAGCTCCAGGGAATCTGAGCCCTCTGTCCTACATAGGCATCCACACACATACAGCATGCACTAACACAGACACACAAAAGCACATGGTTTGAGAGAGAGAGCCCCACAAACCAGGAGTTCAGCCAAACTGGCTAACTTGGTATCTTGTCTTCACTTTGCGCTTCTGAATCTACCCTGTCTCTCTTCCCCTTTCCTGCCTACCACTCATCCCACAATCCTCCTCCACCTCCTACCTCTACTCTCTGATCCGAACGCTGACACTATATAACCCGCTAAGCTGAAGCCTTTCACACTCAGACTCCAACTCATGTATTTAGACATCCACTTACGCATTCTAACAACTTGAGACTTTAGCTTCTCTCCTAGCATAGAATCCTAGACTGTAACCATCTTCCTCATTCATCTTTAAATGCATCAACATGCAAATTGTATCATTTAATACCTTTTGAGTGTCAATTGGTTAACTAAAGAATAAAATGTACAGGGATGTGAGCAACTTCTCTCAACATGTCTCAAGTACTGAAACCAAAAATGATTGACCCAAACATTTAACCTTGTGCCCTTTCCAGACCACAAGAGGCAAAGAGGTCCGTGCTTAGTTGCATCTGGCATAAACTGTATAGTTTCTAGCAGCCAGTGTAAGCTGCAGGGAAGAGTGTGGGCCCTAGAGTCACACAGACCAAAGATGCCCCAAATCTGCCATTTCTGTCTGTGTATCCTCAAAAGCACTTACCAGTTACTTAGGCTTTTATGGCCTAGTGAATAAAAGAGCCTCCTCCTCTCCCACAGCTTTGTTCTAGTTGGGTTCTGAGAATCTATTACGCACATGAAGTCCCTAGAAGAGTGCACAGGGGAGCTACACATCCCTCTTTTCTCTGCACTTGTCTCATGCAAGAGGGAACTTCACTTTGTACAACCTGTGTTCTTTAGTATAACAAAATATTTAACATTAACCCACAGGCCAAAATGGCCTCAGTCAACTCTCTTAGTTTTCCTATGGTTGCCTTGCCCAAGGATGACAGTGGTAATACCAGAGGCTCTCCGTGTGTGTCAGCCTGGTCATCGCCATGTCAGGTCTGCTGTTTGTGCTCCTGGTGACCTTGAAGAACCTCAGTACCCCTCTCAGAAGGATGATTCTGGTGTCTTTCATACCATAAGGGACTCCTGAAGGATACAGATCTGACTCTAAAAGCCCTTATTTTGTTCTTTAGAAAACTCCTGTGGGGGTTGGGGATTTAGCTCAGTGGTAGAGCGCTTGCCTAGCAAGCGCAAGGCCCTGGGTTCGGTCCTCAGCTCTGAAAAAAAAAAAAAAAAAAAAAAAAAAAAAAGAAAACTCCTGTGATGGCTGACCTCAGGTATCAAATGAGGTCAAGCTTTCATGACCTTGATTTGAATACAAAAAAAGGGAAACGGGATGTCATGATTTGCTGACAGTGTAGAGACTGAAGCAGTATTTGCTGCTATCCAATGTAACATTCTTAACTGTGTCTTCAGCTTGTGGGAATCCCGAAGATGGCCAAAGACGATTCCACTGTTCGCTGCTTCCAGGGCCTGTTGATTTTTGGACACGTGATTGTTGGTGTAAGTCATGAGTACTTTTCAAAAAATGGTATTCTTCTTGTAAAGATGGCTTTTAGATAAATTAAAAGTGAAACTTTAAGAAAATATTGTAAATATTATTCCCCTTTATAGTGCCTTCATTTTAAGAAACGTGGTAGTAAATATACTCACTAGAATCTTAAAATAGTTGTATATAATCACCTATTATGACAGAAGACCATGGTCAACATTAAATTAGATTATTCCCTTTCCAATTTTTAAGACATAATGACTATTAAGCGTCATGTGCTCACCACAGTCAGTGTCTAAACACACCATCTACTCATCCATTTATGCTTCTGTCCAGCTGCCCCTTGGTTTGGCTTGGGGACTGTTACTGAAGGTGCTGAAACAGATGTTCTTCTGTAAAGCTGTGAGAACCCAAGCTGTGTGGGCAAGGGCATAAGGGAAGAGCATTAGTCAGGGAGTCAAGAGAGCCGGTCATTGGCTCAAGGCTGCTTCTCTGTAGCTATGGACAAGTCATCATCACTCAGGACCATGGTGCTTCATTCATAGAATATGAGTCCTGGGAAAACAGTCACAACAATTCCAGAACCACTGTGGCAATCGCCAGGACACTTCAAGTATTTCAACCCAGGAAAGTTTGCAATGGGATAGGATAGGAGAATAACCTTCATACAAGAATGCACTGTCTGAGTGGGTCATATCCCAAGGGGCTTTATGGATGGTCTGGGGTTATTTAAATGTTTTCCCAAGTAGCAAACAGACAGACATATATGTGGAAGAAAGTATTAAAGGTAGAGGTTATATGGAAGAAGGAAGCAAGGTAGAAATAGCTGTTGGGTCTCCTGGCAATGGGAGATTCATTGCAGAAAGCCTCTGTAAGATGTAAAAGACTTACCACTAGAGCCTACCTGCACCCATCCCCTTTCCCTTGATGCTCTGCTCTTAGTCACCAGCCTGACAGACTCATTCTCATCTTGTTTCCAGATGTGTGGCATCGCCCTGACAGCAGAGTGTATCTTCTTCGTATCTGACCAACACAGTCTTTATCCACTTCTTGAAGCCACCAACAATGATGATATCTTTGGGGCAGCTTGGATAGGCATGTTCGTGGGCATCTGCCTCTTCTGCTTATCCGTTCTAGCCATAGTAGGAATTATGAAATCCAACAGGAAAATCCTCTTGGCGGTAAGATCTTACAACCCATGACAAGCTGGGAATGTAGCTCAGTTGACAGAGTGCCTGCACATGAAATCTTGGGTTCAGTCCCTAGCACCATAATATCTGGGCATGGTGGTGCCCATCTGTAAATCTGTTTGTTCTGTAGGTATGAGCAAGATGATCCTAAATTCCAGGTAATCCTTAGCTACATAGCAAGTTCAAGACCAGCCTTCACTATAATAAACCCTTTTTCAAAATAACAACTAATAAATTCTCTGCAGTTGCTTTCCTGTGCCAATTTTGGTGAACTGTTTCTTCTCCATTGAGCAAAGAGCTTTGGTTTTCAGTGGGCTAAGTGGAAGAAGGATTCTAGATGAGTGGACAAAAGGGGGGATAGAAGAGGTCCCCTGTTGCAACATCATCCATGTAGGAGGTGAAGATGCCCTTCCTGGTTGAAAGTTCAGGTTTTAGTAAAACAAACTGAAAATAGAAACACCTGTAGATGGTCTAGTTGACTATGTGCAGATGTGTGCTTCTCCAGCTGCTGTCTGCATGTGCCCAACAGTCACAGCCAGGAATTACATTGACATACGAAATGACACCATGGAAATTTTTTGTTAGATTTTTCCCCCTTGAATAATAGTTAGTTTTAAGTGTTGAGGTGTTAAGATACAAAACAGAAAGTAGACACAAATTTCACATAGCAGACAAGAGCCCCCCCCTTTTTTTTTGAAGACTTTCAAGTCCAAGGCCAATGGCTTTTGTGTCATGGCTGCCTGCCCCACACCATCATTTACTCCGCAGCACAGGAACCCTGGAAGACCACAAAGAGCACCATTGTAAGTGACCCATTCACACTCATCTGTGGTCTCAAGGCACTGACTAGGTCATGTTCTGTCTGCCTTTGCAAATGGAAATGAAAGGGAAGGAAATCTCACTTGGGCCTAGATCTCTGCCTTCTGCTCCTGGGCCCCAGGACAGCAGTTTGTGTCATTGTCATCACATGCACATATACACCCACCCCCATACCTCTCCCTACCCCTGAAGTAACTCCCCTACCCTGAGTCCCACTTCTGTAGAAGAACCTTAGCCACTTAAGGAGCTTGTTGGTCTACTTTTCTCAGGTAACCATTGCCCTAGTACCCGGGAATGCAGAATGTTTGCCTTCTCTGTTTCCTTTGGGTGAGTTAGTTCCAGGGCAAATGCACTCTGAAAGAGTAGGGAAAGGAGCGCAGGAAAGAGGGCAAGAACAGAGAGATCTTCCTGAAAACAAGCACAGACTACACCCGGGCCTTCTCTCTAGCCTAATTCTAAGGAGTCCTGAGGTTTTGTAAGAGGAGCCACCAAAGCTCTTGACAGCAAGCAAGGCAGTAGCCAATATGGGGAGGGTTACTGGAGTTTCTGAAAAGTCTCTTTCTTGATTGTTTTCCACAGAGGCAGTTGGGGCTGGGGAGTGGCAGGGTTGTTGTTTTGTTTGGGGGTCAGACAGTGAAAGCAGCAAAAGGTTCTGACCTTTGAACCCACAAACACCCCAAAGAGGGAGGACAAGTTCCTCCACCTACTCTACAGTCCTTCCCAAAAACGACATGAGGAAAGATAGTGAATAAAAGTGTACAAGACAGGGGCTCTCACTGAGAGGTGTCTGCTGGTCAGCTATGTCTGCTGCCCCAGACACTAGGGGCAGGGCAGGGCTGCGCTGTTCACGCACAGTGACTTGCAGCCCATGCTCCCACATGCATGCACAGCAGAAGCAGTGCATAGAGAGCTCTGCTTCCCTCACCTGAGCTGGTATCACTAGAACATGGGTGTGTGTTCTGTGTGAACAGTGAGTCTCTATGCCGGAAGGATGCCTGCTCCTTAGAGATGAGACTGGGTAGGAAAGCCACACGGCATGAAACAAGTTCGTCATCCTTTCCTGACTTCTGTGGTTCTATGTTTTCAGCAGTTCATAAAGAAAATGACTCCCACTTAAAGGGATTTACAACACTCATTGTCAGGTATGACGCACTCAGGCTATCTTGCCAGCCACCACGCATGTCGGGCGTACCAAAAAACTCTGAAAAGCCCACACATTCCTTCATTGTTTAGATTCTCTCCCCCACATTAAAATAGAATTCAGGATGAGAAAACTCCAAACTGAGTGGTCATTTCTTCCAGAGATAAGCAGAGAACTGAGCTGACCCACACACCACCTTGGTCCGAGCACCTAGCACTCACCCCAATCCAAGCAGCTGGTCAAAAAGAGTTTGTACTACCCAACTGCTTGGATACCACGTTTAGATGAATGTGCTTAAGACTCATAGCAACCGCTTAGTGAAATGTCTGCTATAATTCTCGGTTCTCGTCTGTTTCTCTCCCAGTACTTCATCATGATGTTCATAGTGTACGGTTTTGAAGTGGCGTCTTGTATCACAGCAGCAACACAACGAGACTTTGTGAGTATAGTCCCCAAATGCACAGAGCAAAAAACGACAGTAGCTCTGACACCCTAGCAACGGACGTGCGTTGACTCAGTGTGCGCTCATCATGCTAATATGCACACTATTAATACTCGTGAAGTATTGGAAAGCATTGCTTGTCTTTTCTAAATTAAAAGAGAAAGGCATTAAAAGCAAAGAAATGTATCGAGGGACGAATGGTTGGCAGGTCACAGCAAGAATTCTGAGCCCAGGCAGCCTGATTCCCGATGCCCAAGCTGTGATCCATACCATGGCCTTTCTGCATGTGCTGCCTTGTGGAAGACATAACTCAGAATCTTTCTTGTTCCATCTCTCACTGTTTCCCTAATCTACACCATCCTTAAAATGCCCAGTCATGCAGTGATTTCTTCTTATATGGAAACCCAAAGGCCAAATGAGCGTAGTGCCCCTGAGCTTAGCTTCCCTCCAAGAGAATGTTCAATTTGTAGAGCAACAGGCTCTACAGAAAGACTTGGCCTTTCTGGGGAGCAGGTGTGCTGACTCTCTTGTGTCGTTCCCACCCTTGCAGTTCACAACCAACCTCTTCCTGAAGCAGATGCTGGAGAGGTATCAGAACAACAGCCCCCCAACCAATGATGACGAATGGAAGAACAACGGTGTCACCAAGACCTGGGATAGGCTCATGCTCCAGGTAAGGATCACCCCTGGGGTGATCACCTGCTCATCTGAATGGGTAACCACCCGAATGTGGGTAAGAGTAAGGTCAGCACCTCCAGCAGGTTTCTTCAGGAAGAAACTTGTTCCAGACCAGGTCAGCAATGCCTCTTGTTTACTGGTGAGTCTGAGGATGGGGGAATGTTAAACACATGACTCAGGGAGGCCTCTAGATCCATATTTTATGTAAAGCTTTAATGTGGATTAGCCTGCCCTATAGAGCGTACTTTTGAGAACTCTGGATTAATAATGTGTTCTGCCTCTTAGGACTTAGCTCTCACGGTAACAGAAAAGAGTGCCTTACCTCCCCGACAGAGAACTCGAGTGGTGACATATACATGTCTCACCTTTTAAGTCTCCTTTGATGAGTTCTGCTAAGTATTGGGAGACATGGTTTGATTTAATCAATCAGTTTTAAGTGACCATCATACCACATACCCAGGCCTATCCCGAATATGTCAGAACCCCATGTCTCCCAGAGTATTGTCCATGCTGCCTTCTGTGTGTGACTTCTAATGTGAGTCAACTCTCCACTGGCCCCAACACATACAAATTCTCACACTCACTCATATACACACAAACTCTCACTCATGCACTCCCATAGATACACACTCATACTGACATATACACACTCACATTCTCTCTCTCACTCACACACACACTCACACACCTACACACATGCATACACACATACAAATTCTCACACACAGAAACTCACTCACACACTCACATGGATACACACTCACA